CTAGCGCCTTTCTTTCGGCGCCGAGACGCGCCAACGCCCCTCAGAAGTACTTAGTTGTTCAGCGCACCGCCATTTCACCACTGTAATTTCTTTTTCACTAGCTCCTTTCTTTCGGCGCCGAGACGCGCCAACGCCCCTCAGAAGTACTTAGTAGTTCAGCGCACCGCCATTTCACCAGTGTAATTTCTTTTTCTGTAGCTGCGTTTTCTTTCCTCTAATTTTCTCTATCCCCCTTATTTCCCCTCATTTTCTCCCCGTGCGTCTTCTACCCTTGCCACTTCTTTCCCCCCCTTATTTTACACTTCTGTTTGTCGGGCTGCCTGTTTTTTCTTTCCCCCTGCGCTGCGTGCTGACGGCATGCCGTCGTGTGCCTGGTGTGCCTTCGCTGCTCCCGCATACTTCGCCTTGCTTCTAAGTGACTCTTATTGCAATCCCCCCTCCCTCCTCTCCTTTTCCTCTTCTGTCTGTATCGCGTGACCAATCGTTTCCTTCCCGGCGATGCGTGTGTCCGCCATCCTGTTTTGCGCGGAGACGACACTCCCGCCTCGCATAGGGTACTCACTGCAGGCAGCCGAGCCCGCTCCGGCACTTTTAGCAGTTTTAGCAGTCTGGCACTGACAAACGGAAATGTGCACTTGGGCACCGAAATCAAACTGCATAACTTTTTGTCATGGCACTTTTCCCTTTCCCCTTGGAACTCTCTTCGTCAGTCGAACTCGAAACGCCTGGATAAATTTATACCAATTTCATAACAGTATCACTTTAATCAGACCTGCAAACGCATCAATAAGGGCCATGAAAAGGTTCCCTTTTTTTAAATATGTCTAATTAGCTTGCTCGGCCCTTGAGTAGACGCCACTTGCTTGTCACTGCTGGACCGAACCTCACTCAACACACGATAGCACAGGGGAGACACAAAAACAATCATCGCGTTGGGCAACGCCCCCCTTCTCCCCCGCACCCCGCCGCACCCCCGGCGTGCGTCTGTCGCGTCCCTCCCGCGTCCGTTCGGCCTGCTTCCTGTCCACACAATGGACCGACATGTCGCCGGCCCCTCCCACACCATTCACTCGCGCGCATTCCAACGGCTGCGTCTCGTTGTTCGGCTCGCGGGGGCCCCGGGCCCCGGTCAGCAGCGAGAGCGAAATAGGTGTGAACTGGTTCGGCGCGGCGACGACGGAGCGCGAACGTGCGAGGGAGGGCGGCGGCGGGGCAGCTTCCATTCATTCGCGGATTGGGGGGCGAGAGGAGGAGGAGGGGGTTGAACGCGGACGCTGAGGAAGTGCGAAATTGCGCGGCGCGGCGTGCAACAGTTTTCTGTCGTATACAGTGTACCGTTTCTTTGGCGCGCCCTTGTGAACGGCAGTATTGTGCGCGTACCCTGCTGCTGCTGCTTTTCCTGCGAGAGCGTACAGACGAATAAACGTCTCATTCATAGCTAAGCGCCGCCCGCCGTCGACGACAAATAGTTCGGACGAGCTTAAAAGTGCGCGCCGCCCCGCCACGCCCCCGTGCACTTGCGGCCGCGTGGGGGCCGCGCTCACGCTCGTCATTATGTCATTGCGGACTGTGGACGGTGTCCGATGCGAGCGGCCGAGGAGAGGAGGAGAGGAGAGGCTGGGTGAGGTGCCACCACCGGGGGGCGTCGAGGAGACGAGCGGGGGGCGCTGCTGCTGCTGCACTGGAAAAACAAAGGGAAGGCGCCACTTCGACCTGCTCATAATCTCCAGCACTTAGAAAATTAACACCCCTGCCCGGAGACACTAAAATGCCCTGGTGCCAAATTTTAGTTTTTGGACACTTTCGTAGCCTCCTTTGTATCGGCGGTAAAAGCACTGTCGGTCCTGCTACCTTTGTTTTTCCAGCGTGCACACTGTGTGACATCTTTGGAATCCGTTGACGAAAAAAAAAAAAAAAAAAAAAAAAAACACGAGAAAAAAAAAGTTCCGCGCGTGGAGAGCGTTGTTTAGGTGACGACATGGATTCAGCGCGCGAAGCGTGTGTTGTGTCGGTAACACCCAGTAGTGTGGGGCCGTATGTCGTCTGTGCTGTGACGCGGATGACACCATGTACCGGCAGAGCAGCACGCCTCACGCGCTGCGTGGGAAGCGCTTCCGACATGACCGCACATCCCCCCCCCCCCCCCCCGCGCTGATTGTACTTCCGGTCCGGTATATCGCTTCCGGTCAGCTGGTCCAGTGCGTGTGTGTGTTTGTGTGATATTCTTCTTGGGGTCGTGCTCGTCACTGATTCCCCCGCAGAACAACCAACATTTATTGGCCGCCAGACACTCTCTGCTGCTGGTTTTCTGCGCTAATTAACGAGCATGGGAGTCAGTGCCCCTCCCCCACTCAGCGGGGTGTCATAATAACGATTGTTCCGACGAGGAGAGAAAGCCTTCCGAGTACAATAAGTCTAATAGAGAGGATATGTACTCGGCGGCGACCATCCGGGCGGCTAATGCAGACGGTCCACTTCGAGCGGAGGCGCGCGCGCTCGGCGCGTGGCGTGACGTCCAGCGCGCACGCGCCTCCGCTTGAAAAAAAGTTCCGACCAGAAACGGATCGTGAAAGCAGATGATACCTTGTCAAGAATTATTCTATTCCAGTCTATTATATTTCTGTATTTACACTTGTGGGGAAGGGGGGAAGGGAGGTTGGCGGTGCGGGGGCTCCAGCGGTGCGAGAGAGGGGGAGGACTAGCGTAGACTAGCGCGGCCGACGGCTCGGGGCTCGGGCTCCGCTCGGCTCGGCTCGGCTCCGCTCGGCTCCACCCGGCTCGGCTAGTGGCTCGCGCAACAACGCGTAGCGCGCTTGACGCGAACGACGCGACGGCCTCACCCGCCTCACGACCCCGCCTAGCGCAATATAGGAGAGCTTGCTATTCGTTCTCTTTTATATTTTTCTTATTCGAGAGTAAAAGCAATGACACCTTACATTACTCATGTATAGTTAGTTATGTTTAATTTAGGTGTAAGGTTGTAAGGTATCATCTGCTAAAAACAACAGCGTCGTCAAATTAAACACGCAGAGAGTGCAGTGCAGACAGACGTTGCAGAAGGCGGGCGATATATACGGGCGGCTTCCTTCCAGTCGGTTTATAATTGCGGGGGCGGCGAGAAGGAGTGGGGGGGCTGCACTGGACCCCCGCCGCCCCACGGCCCCGCCCCCGGGCCCCGGGGCCCCGCAGCCGCGCCCCGGAGCGTGTCGGCGACGAAGCCGTCAAAGCAAAGCGCTTCGGGACGCCCGCTCTCGACTCGGAGCTCTCTAAAGGGCCCCCGTTCATTAGCACAAGGCACAAAGGCGCGCCAGTCGGACGAGGCGGCCCCGCCAGCCGGAAAGCTTTTCTTTCCGCCGAACGACGACGTCAGGCAAGCGAGCAAGGGGCGGGTCAGGATGAGCGGGTCGCCGTGGAGCAGGACCGACTTTGCGGGGAGGTTCGTGTCCTGCGTCCCGGGACGCGCGGCGACGGCAGCCGCGAGCCGGGAGGCGCGTGGCGGGTGCCGTCCCCCCGGTGAACCTCTGACCGAGGTCCACCCACGCACTCGCACATAGCGCGGCGACGCCTGCGGCGAGCGGGGGCGGGCAGGCAGGCAGCCTGGGGCCAATTAGCTACTTGATGCAGGCGGTGCGTGGACAGCGTACAAGCGCTACTGGCGCTAGCACTGGCACTCTGTGTGGCACTGCCACTGCGGCACTGGCACTGGCACTCTGTGGGACTGGCACTACTCTGTGGCACTGGCACTCTGTGGCACTGGCACCCTGTGGAGCTAGCACTGGTGGCACTTGCACAAGCATTGGCACTGCGCCACTGGCACTCTGTGGCACTGGCTCTGGCATTGGCCAGCCCCTGATCGCATCCTAGGCCGCGCTGGCCACTGGCCTAGCCCGGCTGCGCAGCGCCGCGCTCCGGCTGCAGGTTCACCAACCTCTCGGCCGCCGCACTCCGCGCTCCTGCTCCAGCCTCGGCCCCGGCACGGCACGGCTCCAGCCCGCGGTGCATGACGCCTTGCACGACCGCCCCGCCCCGCCCCGCCCCGCCCCGCCC